GTCAGCCGATGGCCTGATCGACACGCACGCTTCTCCGTATCAACTGCACTCCAGGCTGACGCTCCTGAGACAGAAATGAAGAAGCGGGACTGAGAGAAATGGAGAGCTTGCAGAAGCGACTTCCGTGTTGGACAGCGCGGAGGAATGGAGGAGAACACCGAAAGAGAACGGCGGCCGCCGATGCTGCCCATCCGCGGGAGCAGAAGGAACTCAGCCGACGCCTGTCAGGAAAAGCACGTACTGCGCATGGCTGTCTTCGGAGTGAGCGAAATCGAACAGGTTAGGCAAAATCAGGGAAAGGCCACGTGGCGATCGACGAGTTACCGCGCGGGCAGAAAGGAACACGCGTTCCATTCTTCCGACAGCGCCGATGCTGGGGCCCATGTGGAGTCCATCGCACAATGGCAGGCTGCGAGGGATCCCGGCAACTCGGTTGTGTTTCGTTTAACCAGCGCTGCCAAATGTCCAAACTGAGTGCCGGACAGAAGAGTGGAGTGTGCCAGCAGAGCGACCACATGCCGATGCGCGAAACTACTGTGCACAAACGGGTGCGAGGCAAAATCCATCGCGCAGCAGCGGAAACATAAAGGGTAGTCGGTAAGGGCGCCCCGCGGACATCCTTGGAGCCCACCTCCACGCGCATCCCGTGTGTCGAGGCCCACCCCGAAACGCCTGGCGCCATGAGCGCACAACAGCAACTTCTCACACCTTGGGCCCTATATAAAGAGGTGTCGGAGGCTGACGTACGGTGCAGCCCTTCGTCCACACGTCATCGAGAATGTACTAGTCTCTGTCTTCCGTGAAGATCCCTTCTTCTTCCACTGACAAGGCCAACCGGGTTCAGTGCTTTAGGGCTTAGGGGCCGAAGAAAGCAGGGGGATCTTCGCGGAACAGACAGAGCGACTATTTTCATGCCCACAACATTTTGCTGACGTGCACCACCGCACGGTTTTCTAGCTATTTCAAACGGTCCCTCTCGGCATTGCTCGATCCACTGTGTAGCACCTGCTTATGCGCCGCACACCCGCGCCTTTTGGCATCGGGCTGGACTGTTGCACACCATGACCGGGCGACCGACGGAATGGAATGGCTTGTTTGCCCGCCCCGGAGTACTGTCCTAAAGTACTGCAACGGCACAACAGCGTTGAATGACGGTGGCGGAGAAAGCTCCGTCGATTTTGGTATGCACAGTGTCAAACTGGCAATGCGGGGCCGGTGGCAATACCGTAATGTACTTGGCATTTCCGCAAGCGACGCTCGACTCTACTTTGTGGAACTGCGTGTATGAGGAAACGACGCTGCTCCTAAGAAACGCGGAAGAGACAGGCCACCGACACACAGGCGACGCGAAATTTGTCGAAAGGGCGCATCAACATCGCCAAGGCAGCTGGGAGTTCGGCGCTTGCGCCCAGCTGAAGCCACGCCTGTGCAGTGGTGGGTGCCCGTGCGCGGCCTCCTTGCGGCAAGGCCCAAGGCACAGGGAAGGACCAGCTGGGTCGCCGCACGTATACTAACGTGACAAAAGAGGCCACCTTCGACTCGTTCCCAGGGCGATCCAATTTTCGTCCCTGCCAAGAACACAAAGACGCGTCTTTGTCGCTTGTCGGCGGTGTCTAGGAGGCTTGAGACGTGGTGAACAGAACGTATGTTCTGTTCATCACGACTCAAGCCTCCTAGACTCCGCCGACAAGCGACTATGGCTGGCTGGCAGCCAGTGGCTGCTCTCATCTAACGCCTGCGCTCAAGCACCACGAATACCAAGAAACATGCACTCAGGGTGGATCCTGGTCATGATAGTCCCTCTTCCCTGACTGTATTTGCCAACATTTTTGTCAAAAATCGATGGCCGTGCATTAGTGATCTCCATTGCAGTTCGAGATTGCGGCCAGGATCGTCGGTCTGCACAAAGTCACAGGAGGTTGCTGATCCAAAGAAACAGCACCAATGCATGTGCACACCAACGAAATGTACACGCACGACCGTTTATTCGTTGCTGAGCAATGCAGCCTTAGTTGATACAAGAAGATGTTCAGCTGGCGGATGAGCACGGAACGAACATAGCTCATTATTAAGTGCAGGTGTCGCTCTTTAAATGAGACACCTAACAGATGCAGCACAACGATGGGCGAGCGGTACTGCACAATCGGTCGCCAAGCAAGCAATTCAATAGCAAGACACTTCGACAATCGACCAAGGAATCCGACCTTGGTGCTTAATGACTGAATAGAGGAGCTATCCTACAAGTAACAACTGGAAAACCATAACCCTACAATGTTTTGCAGCGGACATTGCGCTACACGGGGGCACCTTTCTTGCCCTTTTGGTGCGGTTCAGAATCGCTCGGGCCGCTTTTAGATATCCGTGCGGAAGCAAGCAGTCTCACACGACTGTTCGAATCGTTTGGAGCCAAATCCAACGCACTGCCCTCGCCATCAGCAGCCGACAAATTGCCATTGCCGGCGCGAGTTGGTTCAAGGCTAGTTGGAGGGAATGGCCCTCTCCCTGAACTGATTTCACTCCACACTGATTGAGATGCACCGGCCCTTGAGAACGTGCTGAGCGTGCGTTGCAGAATCCCGCCGCGGGCGGATGAAGATGAATCAGCCGTTGGTACATAGTTTCCCTTGCTGTGCTGCTCCAACTGCAGCAGCACATGAAAGAGTCAGAAAATTTGCACAGTAGTTACCTGCGCATGCACAGCTCTTCAATGCACGGTGGGCAATTCGGCAATCAAGCACTCATCGTCTTTCCCAGTTGGGCAAAATAAAAGCCGTTTTCGGGCAGCACAGCTCCAGTCCGGAACGCAGATGCCCATCTTCTGTGACTGAACACCTGCACCGAACGTGGAATCCGGTGGACATGAGGCGCACCTTGCGGGCCAGACGCTCCCCAGCAGCATCCGCGGTGTTGTGGCGCACGCCATCCGCAATCATTGACCCAAACAGCTGCCTCTCCTCCTGGGAGGCAATCGCCAGCCACTGCATGAGCGCGGCCCTGTCCTTCCAGTCGATGTGACTCCACAGGTTGTCTTCTCCAATCTGCTTGGTCAGGAAGAAGTTGCGGTACAGCACCTCGACAATGTGCACAAACTGGCCACGGTCTTCTTCGCTCGACATGGCCAGAAAGTCAATCAGCTGTTGCGCAAGAACACACATCGCGTCTTCAGTGTCTGTCCTCAATCAAACATGTCAGAGTTGAGTGACGCAGTGCATTTCTGCTGTTCGGTCATCCAGTGCAAGAGGCTGCTAATTGACTCAAGGCAATTAGAATTTGAATCAAAATTGAGTCAAGCGGCACTAAATTATAATCGTCAGACTGGACACCATGGCATGAGGAATGGGGGCAATCATCTCAACGAATCGCCCAGGAAATATGCCTTCTGGGTAGTGATTATTGTTGACTTGAACTTGGCAGTGATTTTAAAATTGACTTTACTTGGAAATGCAAATCAGACCAACAGACAATCCAGGTTTAAATATGACAAAGAATCAGCGCTCCTTCGGCATCTAGCACCCATGCACTAGCTGCAATCACCTCAGGAAAGGCCAGTGCCAGACTCCTCCAAAACTTGGCTGCTGTTTCAAGGGAGAGGTAAGAGCAGTGTGCGTCATCACAAAGATAATTGCCAAGCATGGCAGCCAGCCGGTCGAATTGCAGCAGCTTCTTCTGATCGGCATATCTCAGCCACCTGTACAAAAAGGTGGAATCTACTGTACTGTACAACTCCATGTGGCGATGATCTCCTCTTGGGTTGGCACCATGCACAAGAACCTGACCACTTGCAACAGCTGCTGCAACCGCCTTCCTGTGACGTCTCTTGATGGCCTAGATGCAACAGTTTTTTGTGTCGTGGAAAATACCTCAAGGTGAGCTCCATCGGTAACGGCAGGGCATGCATGATCTCCCAATACAGACATGTGGCTTTGGATCAAATCACAGACAACAGGCCGCTTCACAAGCATTCCAGATCTAGCAGCTTTGCACGTACAGCTAGGCATGCCAATTTGAATGGAACAAAATGGTGTAATAAATCTCCCCCATGGCATCGTGTCTTGCCATCAAAAATGTATGGGAGACGGGCAGCGCAACAGTCTGCCAACCCAATAACCCACTCTGTGTAGAAGGCAAGCCACAATGCAATGCAGCCTGGTCACCGCCACACAAAACTTGATGCAGCTGCTGGCCACCAAGACATGCTGGAAACTGCAAGTGTGCTCTGGCATCAACAAAAACGACGCGAGACAAGACAGAACAGTGCATCATGGATCAACCTACCCATATGCAGATCTTCCGGAAAATCTCCATCAGAAAGAAGAAGAAGGTTATGGCGCACATGATGAAGACCAGGACGAGCACTCCCCTTGTCAGGATGGTCCGTGCAGTGCTGGGCAAACTTTTGCAAGAGAACATGAGGCCGCTCATTGCAAAGGCCGCAAGACAAACCAGGAAGAAACTCTGGAGCAAGTCGAGCTCATCCTTCACGTATGGTAGGGTGTACACATGAACGAACAGCCAAACCATGGTAACAACCGTGATGATGCCAACTGCCGAGAGTGGGCTGCTCACATGGACCATGGCTGCAACAAAGAAGATCCTGACAAGCAGGGCTGCACAAGCACAGAAATTGCGCCCATCAGCCTTTGAAAAGATGGTGTCATGTTTGTGCTGCGATTTGTATGCTGCATGGCAGGCAGCCCATATTTTGCAACAGCATAAATGCACAGCAACATCTATTTAATGGAGGCACAAGGCTCACCACCCCTACCCTAAGGATGCTGCATGTAGTTGTGTGTGTTTTGTGATGGACTTTAGCCCCTTGCACAGCAGCACAAGTGTTGCTCAACGTGCGATGAATCATGTGCAAATGTGCCCTGAGAACTCGTTGGGCCCTAAAGAGCAGCATGATATGAGACTCAGTTCCATACTGCAAAAGATGACACAGAAGTGAAGGCAGAATGTGAACACAAAACACGTGGACCTCCAGCCCACAGTCCACTCACTCAGAACTGCTGTCCAAGTATACTCCAGCTCAAATCGTTCATAAACGAAGCCATATCGTCTAATGTTGCTGGACAGCTTGAAGCTCTTTGTTTGCTGCATGGTTGTTAGCTGAAAGACGACGAATGCCAAGTACCCTCCCGTGTAGAGAATGAGCCCAGCGATAGCAAATCCACGCAAGGTCTCATGTTTGTCAGAACCACACACCGTTTCAGGAGAAGCTGTCAAGACAGAGACCCCCGCCACATCTGTGCAAGCCAAGACATCCAAACAGTACCTGAGTGTCATCACAAAAAGAAAGATGAGTCAATACAACAGCCGAGGTGCGACTAAGCAGAAATGTACGTCCCCCCTACTGAAGCTGGGCTGCCAGCCAGCCAGTTGATGATCACTGTGACAAAAGGCGGTGTGATGAGAATCTCCACAGCCCACTTGTGTGAATATGCACAGTTGAGTTTATATTCCAGGCAAAAGCACATGTTTGCCAGCAACATATGCACAGCATTGACCCTGCAAAGCGCACAGCCGTAACAGTACCCACATGGGAATGACCAGATCATGCACCATCGACCATTGATCAAAGGACAACAGACAGCAGCTCTTGGATTTAGGCACACCAAAATGGTATCCATATTGATCTACAGCGGCAAGCCCTGGAGCAAACTTGCCTTGTTGTAGTAAGGTAGGTCACCTCAATGGCAGCCATGCAATGTGCAACAAACTTGTCAAATTCCATAGAAATGAAACTTTCCCCACGGAAGCTTGTTCTGCGGACATCCCATTGATACACGGTGGCAGCCCGAAACCACTCCACAAAGTGGTTGTGTGCCTGCAGGTACCACTTCGATGTGTAGAATCTCAGCACACCAAGCAGAAACCACAGCAGCGCCTGCTCGCATGCGCAAACAGTGGCACAGGACACCTGAATCAGTACCTTCAGTGCAGACATGGCCTTGGTTCAAACACAAGGGGCCTTCCTGGGCAATTCACACGGGGCAGACTATAGATGCTACACAGGACAAGGCGGAAAAACGATACAAGTGGACTTGACACCAGATGAACAACCGGAGAAGGGTGCACAGCAGTTTCACGATTAAGTGAGCAAAAAAAAGCAGGAGCAGGTTGGCGATCCGCTGCCAGCATACTGGCCCCCCTTGTAAACAAGCACATAACCAATGCACTTGGACACAGCCACATTCACATACAGACCAGCTCCTCTGAGTATTGAACAGCATTCTAGAGTTTTAGAATTTCAGAGGTATTAGAATTGTGCTGCGTAAATAGCAGGTGTCAAGCCCACTTGCTCAGCAATTGACAATGAATGGGCAATCGCCATGCCTATGGCAACCAGAGAGAATGTCTATTGGCAGTGAGCTGGGCATGCCATTGCCTGAACACAAATTCCCCTAGTGTACAGCAATATGCATGCACGAGCCCATAGCATGCAACAACGGCAACGTCACTAGCAAGCACAGTGCATGTACACTCACCAGAAAGGACATCACAATGGGAAGACCAAGTTGCACAAAGAAATTGTTGGTGAACGACCAGGATGCAAAGCAGCTCGGCTCCACAACATCAACATCAAAGTCCAAGATACTTGCGACACCAAACACCTGCAAAGCCAACAATAAACAACCACAACCTTCAAGGCGGCAGAGCGAATTCACATTTCAGATTCTAACAGCAAAAAGATGAATTCAGTTCAACCCAGTTCTCTACAGAAAGGGTGCAAGCAGGCAAAGCCCCTGGCCATCTCCATGAAGGGGAGGCCCTGCTTCAAGTGGCAGCAGAAGTGCATGCAATTGCCCAGTGTATGGTTGTTTGTGCGACTCACCTGCCTGAGGGACTTGGGCCACTCCAGAGGCAATGATCCAATGATGTTTGCAAGCTGCACGAAATTCAGCATCAACTCAACAGTTTCAACCCGTAGAGCAACAACTGAGTTGATGATGAGCCACATGGCAAATACGATGACCATGAGCATCACTGTAGAGGCTGTGCTCCTGTGTTGACACAACATGCCAGCCATTTAGTGCAGTATGCACCAGAATTTGCATGCATTTAGGGGACCTATGCCTGAAACCGGAACAACCCTGCAACTGCTGTATGGAATGCATGCAGCACTGTTGTTGAAGTTCTTCACTGTATTGAGATAGTGCAAGTATCAAGGACAACACCAGCGGGAAGAGAAGGGCATGTTCCCAACAGGGTCGCAGCATCATATGGCACTGAAAATTCCTGAACAACCGTTGGGTTTGCAATGTAAGAAACTCAAGGGACAGGGGTGTTGCCTTATTCACGCACAACTGCAACATCTAACAGGACTGCAGCTAGGACAAAGGTCTCAGTTTGGAAGCATTGCGCTGCCAAATCCCCACTTACATGCATTCAAAGCAGTGTTCAACGATCTTGAAGTACCCTGACTGACAGTCAGCACAGAGACGACCTGTATATTCTTCTGTGCACAGATCAGAGAAGTTTTTCCCACCCTTGCAAGCTTTGGGAAGATCGCAGACGTACATCTCGTCCCTGCTGACAGCATGCATACTAGGCTTTAAACCCATCAGCTGCATCTGGTAGGAACATGCAAAGCGACAGTATCCACAAACAGCAACAGGACCAGCGGCCATGGTTTCACAGCACACATTCCTGACAGAATATGCACTGGCTGCCTATTCACTGTTACGCACAGCAATTTGCTGCTGGAAATCGGAGTTACAATCACATGCAATTGGAATCCAGAAAAAGGGGTTGAATGCGGCAGGGATGGGCACAGCGTAGCATTTCAGATGTCCCCAGGGGTCCTGGCAGCTAAGCGTTATTTGTCTGTTGGTACATCGATGGTCACAAGTATCCAGTTGATGCGACATTCATAAAGCTGGAATTGGTGTATTGATTCGCCAAGACAGTATCAGTGTTTCGGAGCAGACCACCAGATGGGTGCTAACCTTCCAAGCAGACCTGATATGGTGACAGGCCAAACAGTACACCTCAATATTTCCATTTCATAGTTGCAGCACAGAATGACACCTTTGGGAGAACACCATGTACAATAATGTCAAGTGTCACTGTGGACATTCAATTGACCAGCAAAAGCGTGCAACTGAGGCTAACAGAGCACTGCAGGGCACATTGCGGTCCCAGATACTGCTTCGCACACACACAAGAATTTGATGGTACTTCCAGCAGCTGAAACATGTCGTTCTCGTGGACGTGAGTGGACAATACTGTTGGTTTGATGGCATGAACAGACAACAAGCATTCCTAGCAAGCCATTTTCCACTCCTGGAGCCCAACACTCCAGCACTTGGTATGCCTTAGGTGGCCTACAAACATCGTTGTAGATCCAATTCTGCACTATTTCAGAACCTTCCAGATGCAGAGTTCTTGCACAAGGCCAGAAGGTCTTGGCCACAGCTATTGGGGAAGAATAGGAACCTGTTATCCAAGCCAACAAACCTGGGGCGACAGTCTGCATTGCTCCAGGCCCTGGATACTGTGAAACACACCTGAAACTACTATTTCCCCAGTACCCAGCAAGGGGGTATGGCAACTCGCGATGGCCTTCACATTCGGCCCCATCTGGGCACTCCTTGCAATCCCTCCCAGCCCTTCTCTGAGGGTCATAAAATCCAGGAACACATTCACAGTCACAAATTGACACACCCCTAGCTCGATCCCCGCTGCTTGTCTCTGCAACAGTAGCAACAGGAGCATGGTCGTCAGAATGTGGAACAGGCGATCTGGAATAACACATTGCTTCAACATGCAAGACATGAACGTCCAGGTTTCATCGAAGCACCAATGAGGCCATAGCAGACAACAGGGGCATAAACCACAGGGCTCAGTCCCAGTCCAAGTGCTGACCTTCACAGTTGAGGCATGTGATGTTTTCATCCCCAAGATCGAGGGTGCAGCTTTCACAGAAAATAGAACCGTGGCTGTCTCTAAACTCACAAAAGTCAAAGCCACCACCAGCCCTCCTCTCCGTATTTTCTGCACAGCAACAAATTTATCCATCAGTGGATTGCCAGACAAATACCTCCACACTTTACAGAACAATGGCAGGCTATTCCTACCCATCAAATCAGTGGTCAGAAGATGCATTGATGCATAGGGCAGCCAACGATGCGAAATGTGGCTGGACTTTTTGCTGCTGAAAGGGAATGCAAGGATCATCAATTGCATTCACGTCAGTGGTGTGAGGGTGCCCACTGCTATGGCATTCCCTGAGGGAGGTTCCCTCCCCTACCTGGACAAGGGATGCACCCAGTCTGTCCTTCTCCACGGTCTGTATATTCATCACTGCCACATTCCTGGCACAAATCTCTGCCTTCCTCACCAGAAAATGTGCCAGGTGGGCACTTTGGGCACGGGTTGAACTCATCTGGTCCACGGAACGTTCCTTTGGGACACCTCTCAGGCTTGAATGGATTGCTGCCTGGGATCTTCAGTGCATGAGAGCTGTTGGCGATCGACAGAGGAAGCACCACTACGGTCTCAAAGGAGCCACTATTGTTGACAACCTGCAGGCCATAGGCCACGCAGTCAGCAAGGGGCCACAGCGTGGGAAAAAATGTCAAAAAATTAACACACTGAACAGGAAACAATCACAGAGGCAGCATCAGAAATCAATGCGATACACTTGAAGATTTCTGGGTGCAAAATGCCCAGGAAAGGATCATGGGCTGTTCTTCCAAGTGTTGAAAAGGATTCTGCGGAAAGCACAATGGATTCCCCACCTGAATCGTGATGCTACCAAGGCCAATGTTGCGGTGGTTCTTGTCAAACTTAACGGGCCCCAGAATCGTGCCTTCGAAATCGCTCAGCTCCAGTGTCTCAAGGACTCGATCGTAACCAAGCGCCTTGCCTTTGTCACAACTGCAAATGAACATATTTGCAATCAATTTCACAGCGCACAATAAGCACTCAATGCAGGGGTACACAAGAACTTGTGCGTTCATCAACCTGTCTGCATAATGCCAGCATTGTTTCTAAGCCAGTCAAAACATTGATCCTTATGACAAAAGAGGCAGTGAATTTCTGAACGTGGGACGCGTTGCTTCTCACAATGTCTAATGTTTGGCTAGACAGGTGCACTGCAAGCAGCCAGACCCCGCCCTCCATCCTTTGGGCACCAGGGCAATTCTATGGTGTGGATGGCTTGGCTAGGGATACTACCAGGCAAATTCTGCAGGCACATGGCTGGCCCTGGTGGCCTCTTGCCACTCATGCTCAACTCCAAACGGAAGCTGGAACATTTCTTTGCGCTGTATTTCTTGCCCTTCTGAAATTCCATCTTCAGCTTTGTGACTTGCTGTGGCGTTGCAAGGGTCCTAAGGGATTGTCATGTTCTAGGGCTGCTGTTTCACAGTTTACAGTATATGGTCATGTGTCTGTCGCTCTGCACACTGTTCTGCCCTGCTGTCCAAACATGCACCGCTGGGCCCAATGAAAGACTCGAGTCAGATTTCACGGACCTGTTGAAGTTCTGCATGTATCGAGTCATAGATATTCCAGGATTACATTCCATGTAATGCGATTAACAACTGCAATGGCTACATTTGGCCAGTGTTAGCGCTCCAAAATTACAGCCAGCTACATCATGGAAATTGGTCTCAACGAACTGGCGTTTCCTGACCTCCATCGCCAAAAGGTGGCACATGACAGAGAGAATTGTTGGATCAGAAAAAGCAGAGTCAGCTATTCAACATTCATCAGCGCCACGATCAAGAACTGAACGGCAGCAGTAGCAACAGCAGCAACAACAACATCCTACACATATTTGTGAGGCAGCACAACACCCACATTTAGTCAAAACAGAGGCAACACCTGGGCTGTTGAATTGGACACAATATATTGACATCAAATCAGCAACAGCAGCCATAAACTCATGCCAACATGCACTTCCATCTGCACTTTAGTTCTCTGAACATTGGCACTTGGTGTACTGGAGCATTAACATCAGGCTGTGTCCAATTGTGGAGGGATGTGCTCACCTCCTGCCTTGTCCCAGTGGCCACAGCAAGGATTCAAAACACAAACACACTCCCCAACCTGGGCTATTTGGGGGAAACCTGAAGGCCTCCCAATCGGGAGACTCCTGCTGTAGTCACTGCGCATATGGTTCTTGTTCCAAAGCGAAAACCATCCAAATGCAGAGGGGGTTGGATTTTTCTGACCAAGTATTGTGAGCAACAAGGAACTGGGGCTGTCTGACGAACTGAGTAGAGACACATTGCCTGACCAGCATGTCATACGGTTGGGATACACTAATGCCTTTATTCCCTAAGTGCACAACACGATGAGGGGCATGTTCTTTCTCACGTTACCTTATGGCTGAGGTGTCATTCAGCAACAAATTGACGTCTCCAGCTGTCTCGGTGGTGTTGCATCCTTCAAAGGCTTTCTGGATTGCACTCATGAGCACATAAAAAGATGCAGTTTGAGCAGGAAATGTGAAATCCACTCTTTTGCCGTCCACTCCCTCCAACAACTCAACAAATTCCTCAACAGATTCGAAGAGTGCCAGGTTCGTGAGGTTAATTGTGTGGTGCCAGTCAGCAAATGTGAGCACGTCCAGGGCCATAGGGCCCAGATTGTCCACCCATTCTGGGATAGTTGGCCCAGAACCCATGAAGCGACCTTTCAAAGGGAGCTCAGCCTGCCAAGCTTCCTCAATAAATAACGTCGCCCGGTCTGGGTGAAGACACGCTGCAAGCACATAGAAAAGACAAGCCGTCAGGACTCCCCAGACAAGTCCTTGCAAGCATCCTGCAATGGTTCAGGAGCCCCTGTTCGCTGAACGAATTCCACGTGTGCAGCACCCAACTCACCAGAGACAAACTCTGTGTGTGCCTCCCTCATGCGTTCCACAATTCGTGCCATTGCTGCGGAGTTGTTCAGTACGCTGCTGTTTTCAGACTCGATGAACACAAATTGAAAGCCGCCTGCCAAGAATTCTGGCGCTTTCTCCCTGGCCAACACACAGCCAGCGGAGCCTCCGTAGTCTGTCTCAATAACAAGACTTATGTTCCGCATGCCCTGCCCAGTTGACAGGCATCAGGTGTGGTCACAACCATGGTGGTGCACAGACTCCCAACTCCTACTACGGAACACAACGTCTCCTTCCATTGCAGATACTCACTCCCATTGCGATCTTGCAAGCGATTTTTAATATCAAGTATTGGTGTACCCATCTCTCCAACATGGACGAATCCTTTCCAGGCATCCACACAACTCCAGGGACCAGTGCACTGTGGGCTGATGCCCAACTGGTTTCAAAATCTTGCAGTGTTGATTGATGAACCAAAACCATCGCCATGGTCTCAAAACCTGATAGAGAGAGGCCATGGAAGGAACGGTGGATCTTACGTAGCTCAAGCCAGCAGCCAGGATCGACAATCATCCCTCCTCCCCTTCAGCATGTGAACATGAATGCATCCTCAAAAGAAGCGGCAAACTCTGTACAAAGCTGGCTTTCTCGGCATGGAACAATCGTGATAGGCACTTTCATGCACCGTCTAGTGTTCCTCACCTTCAGAGCGATCGCGTTCATGAGGTTCTCAAGGTCGTTCTCAAAAGGGGGGTACATTTGAAAGTACCAGTCGCGTCGACCTTCCTCATCGTCACTAAAACAGCAGTCCAGGGTTATCCGATTAAATTCTCCTGCAACCAGACCCAGGCTGGGATCGCCCAAACCAAAAAGAAAATGGGCGCCCTGCGCCACCTGCTCCCTCGCTACTTGCCGCAAGCTTGGCGCCTCAGCACCTGGACCATCATACATCACAGTCGAGTAGTTGAAGACAAACCGATGGGGTCCATTCCCAATCGGTATTCCATCGGGGTGCAGCTCTTCAAACCTCTCCATGAACAACTGGTAACCCCTGTCCAAGGGTAATCCCCCCAAGAAACTGCTGTAGATATCATAGTCTGTAGAATTAATCAACAGCACCGTCTGTATCACGCCATCCTGGGCCCACAAGGTCCCCAAGCTGCCGATTAACACCAGCCATGCCAGCAGCGTGCCATAAGCTGCAGCCATGTGCATCCCGCAGGATCAGTAGTGGGCCTGAACAACCCTCTTCTCTGCGTCAGCTGCTCGCTCTTCCTGAAACAGAAAAACATTTAGTAGGGGTGACATGAGTTAATGTGAAAGATTATTGGGCTTTGCAAGGCGACGCGCCACTTCACCACTGTGTAAAGCGCTCTGCAGGGGACACTGATGCACATTTTTTGTATGGGTTAACCTGCAAGAATTTAATCATTCAATACTAAAGCGGAAAAGCAAAAGCGAGGCTGAGCCAATTACAGAGCCTGCAGAAACAACGTCGAAATCGACAGCACGTCAGATTGGAGGAACATTGAAAAAAACGGCGTTGCCGAATGCTGCCCGTTTCGCTCGATCTGACAACGCTCAGCCAATCATGGAAATGCTCGAGTTGCGGACGGCTGTCTTCCACTTAAGAGAAATCAATTGGTTGGGGCAAGTCAGGAAACACACGCATTCCTCCAGTGACCCTGCAGATAGAAGCACGCGCTTTCTTTTCCGAGAGCGCCAATGAATGGGCCCATGTGGGGTCCTTCGCAAAACAGCGACCTGCGAGGGACCCAACCAGGAGCCTACAGTTTGCTTCACCAGCGCTTCTTAAATTCTAAACCGAGTGCCGGATGGCACAAACACAACCCAACCTGATGCAAGCAATTGTTGTGCACGAACATTTGGGAGGAACTCCCTGTCCTGAACCGCGGACCCACGAAGGTATCGACGAGGTTGCGTCGTGCACAGCCCTGCAGCCCAGGTCTCACCACTCACGCGCGTCCCATGGTGTCCAGGTCCATCCCGACAAGCCTTGTGCCGCACACGCGCGCAACAGGCACCTTTGGCTCCATGAGCTCTTGGCGTCGGTAATGGGTGGTGCGGCCTCCTTGCCCTTTGCTGAACGCTGAACAGCCACGTGATACGCTGACGTGCCCGTAATATACTGGCGAGCACCCAATATGCTGACGCGCACAGCAACATGATTTTCTGACTACCCCTAGTCCGTGCGTCCGAACGACACCTCCGAATCAGTGACCGAATCAGCAAGTGCTGGCTTCACTTGCAGTCGTGAGTTGTCGGGGTTGAAATTAGCCCCTTTGTCACTTTTGTGATTGTCAATTCTTGTTTTCATGCCTCAACCCTAAACCACGGACCCATGTTGGCCTTGTCCTTGTCAGTAAAAGAAGAAGAGATCTTCAAGACAAAAAGTGGGGACTAACACATTCTCGAGTTGTCCCATCAATAAATGCACATTTTTGTGATTCCAAAATATAATGCAATGGTTGTTTCTTGGTTGGTTCTTTCCTCACATAGATGCATCGACATGCATCATGGCATTGGTGCAACATACAAACCTAGTGTACAAAGGGTGTCTCCTAATACAATGCGTGTGGGTGATACAACAACGTTATTGGTGTGGGGCGCTTGCCCTCTTTAAGCCGTGGACGTGCCTCACCGGGCATCTAGGTCCTTACAGGGACCTAGGCCGGACCACCCCGGCCTAGTCCCATATCGTATAATAGTATAATGTCCGGTTCGGGTATTGTTACCATATCCTGGGTAGGGCATCCCCCACACCAGAAGACCGTAGTAGGGCGTCCCTCACATGAGGCCTATGTGCGTAACATTCATCCCCCTCAGGGAGGTGGGACGTCCCCGTCCCAATGCTTACATATGGTAGTAGGCACATGCGTGGCTAACAAACCTGCCGTATATGGGAACTGGCTGTGTAATTCACCACATGCCCAATCTACCACGTATTATTAACAAAACATACATTGGAAAGAAAGAGTGGTTGTTACAAGGAGAATGTTCCTGCTTACAACCCTCATTAAAACTCTTCCTTCAACTTACAGGTTGGAAAGTTTATTTCGAGTCTATAATGTACAACTTTCTACTCCATAGCCTCTTGACCTGCATATATCTGAGGAATGTTCAGGACATATAGGGATCACCCTGCACGTTCCCTGGTTCAACTGCTCTATACTATCCGTCGGTGACTACGATCCCTCTAGGTGTAGCCTAGGCCTCTGCCTCCACCACGACCTTGACAAGCGGCTAGCACGGACGGTCCGTTACCCTGTATCCTCTCACCACTTATGATGGTGATGGACATGGTATTCATGTGCCCAAACTATGAGTGGGACTGGTTTTCTTGGTAGCCGATATTCTTCTGCACCCACTGCAAGAGCGCCTGTCATGCACAGGAGAACAAACATATTCACACCAATGTGTTCATCTTGTACCATGACCAGTTTGTACATTAGCAACAGGAGTTCTGCTATTCTCAAATGCTTGAACCAATGCCTGTGCATTGGCAACTGCTTTTGCTAATTCCCTGCTATTATATTTATGGCTGTAACCAGGCCATTTGACAAGATACTCAACGGAGTCTTGTCTATGGCCACATTTTAAATCCTTTTGTTAAGGATGCATTCGCCCTTATATTCCAGCTCCCCCTCAATCTCGATAGGGACTGGTGGTGGCTATACTCTGCCAATTACCTTAGAAGGCTTGAGTTTTGATACATGGAAAACCGGATGTATCTTACTCATGCTTTTTGGGAGTTCTAGTCGATATGCAGCAGAACCTATTTGGTCGAGGATAATGAAGGGCCCAATTCACCTCAGTAATAGTTTATAAGTTCCAAGGTGTTTGAGGGTAATATGTTGTATTGAAAGGAGGATGTTATCTTCTTTATTAAATGACACATCCCTCCTGTGGTGGTCAGCATGCTTTGACTGCCTGTTCCATCCTTTTTCTATGCATGCTCTGGCCTCTTTCAGCGCTGATTGGACACGGTGATCAAATCGTGCCATAGTTAGTAATCCCTCCATGAGGGGTGTACTAATATACCTTAAATGAGGTTGTTGTGCTCTGTCAATGGCCACTGCCAAGCTGCAAGCATTTGGATTATCATAGTCTTTCAATGGCTTCCAAATTTTCACCCTAAGAGCTAAGGGACTCTTTGGGTGTCGACCATAGTTCAAATAGAATGAGGTCTCTTCGGTTGAATTGTTTTTTAAGTTGTTCATTGCAAACTTAGGTATAGCTATTAGTTCATCCCACGTGTCTTGTTCGGCATGCATATAATTGTGCAAGTAATCCTCCAAAATCCGATTCATGACTTCGATCTGCCAGACCGGGTCTGGCCATCCGCTTGTGGATGGTACATAGTGCTCATGTTCAGCTGTATTTTCCACCTCTCTGCCAGTGTAAGGGGCGGGGTCCCCTTTTGGCCGGGCGGGAAATGGTCCGTTATCCCCGTTTGACTCGGGGACCGGTCAGGTCGGTATCGAGCTGCAACTTTGATTACAAATAGTTTGGGAGCGACTGTATTTATACCAACCTCCCAAGGAATCCCAAGGGTCATGCCAGAAATAGGGTGAGCCATCCTATTTTGGGCATACCCGCCAGGTTTCAATTCAAATTTGTTTGTCCCTTGTTCTTCCGCTTACCGGCCCGTTGGTCCCCGAGGCCCGCTGGCCTTTATCCCATCTAACCTACCATGTTTGGGCCCCAAAAACCACTCCCCCTTGAGCTGAGCGTGTTGACCAACACGGCTCCCCCCTTCCACGTCGTACCCTATTGCGTTGGAAACACTCCTGGGCTGCTAACCTTATTATGCAAGGCCAGCACTTGGCCCAAACACATGACATTCTACTGTACAATGGTCTCCCTGAGTGCTCATAATGTACAATGCGTTGTGCTTTTCCCCAAACTTGATATTCTATTATCAATATTCTCAATTGGCTTATAATGTACAATGTAGTGTGAACTCCCCCTCGCACTCTTCCCCCCTTGCAGCAAAACGTCCCGTGAGTTGTGGCTCCACCTCCCGACAGTGTAGCCTCCCCGGTGAAGTCCTCAAGTTGCCACGCGGCTTCCCATGGACCAATCTTCCCACCACAAAAGTTGCATGCGTTGTCCCCAAGTGTGCGGTTGCCATGGGTCGTCAGCATCGGAGTCGAGGCTTGCGGATCCTGACTAGTTGACAACTTCGTTGAGCATAATCATCCTGCCATGGTTGGTAATGCTCTGGGCGGGTAGGCATTGCATCCAATCTCCGCCCCACCATGGCTGCTTGATGCCGGTTCACGGGTCATCGTTCAGCCAGCAGTAGGGATCCAAAGGGGCCTCCTTGGCCTGGGTGGCGCTCCGAGCTTGGACGCCTTTTAGCCCTCAAAGACCTCCGCATGCTGCCTCACCCTTGTCCCTCATATCTTCCACTCTCTGAAGGCGTTTGGTGTTATTGGTTCACTGCCAACATCGCCCTCCGTGGGGGTATTCACAATTTATGAACTCGTTTTCAACTCCCGCTCTGCTCCAACCCTGGTCGTCGGTGTCCTCCTCCTCATTCCAATGTATCGGGCTATCCAGCCTCTCACGGTAGAGGATGGCACCCGCCACACGCCGCCTCTGGCCTATGGCAGCCTACTCGTCCTGGGCATTCTTTTGGCTAATCCTCATGTAAATCTCCACCTAGACGCCTGACTCCATGTGTGCGGTGGCCTGGGCAGTCATCTTGGTTGCCAGGTGTTGGCGCGTCAAGCCGGACGTCGGGCAGTTAGGCAATGCGGCAGTGAACAACAACATGGGAAATAAGGCCACCACCAGCCCTATAAATAGGGCATGGGTCCACAACCCCGCCCTCCGCTATCGGGCACCACCTTGGGAAAGTGCGGTGGTTACTCCCATCCTGGTTTTTGTCCTTGTCGCTTGGTCTAATGGGTCAGGTGCAGCGGGTCTTTGGTTGATGTCTTGACCCTATGTTGACACGTCCACTCCTACTGCTCTGATCTATTGTATCACCATTATAACACCCCGCCATAATCTTTTTCTTGCATGTCGTTTCTTCGAGTCACTCTGTGAGTGCCTCTTGATGACCGGGACTTGGCTCGACTCCAATTGGTCCTCGTGCCTGCTGCATCCTCACAACCCCTTGATGACAGCCAGTTTCTCACTCTTCATAGCTATTTCGGTTATAGGAGGACGTGGTTCTTCTTTTT